CTCAACCCTGACTGCTCTTTAGAAGGCCAGATACTGAAGATGAAACTCAAATACTTTGGCCACCTAATGAGAAGGAAGGACTCCCTGGAGAAGAGCCTAATGCTGGGAACAATAGATGGCAAAAGAAGAAGGGGACAACAGAGAATGAGGTGACTAGATGGAGTCACTGAAGCAGTTGGTGTGAGCTTAAGTAGACTCCGGGGGATGGTGGAGGACAGGAAGGCCTGGAGGAATGTTGTCCATGGGGTCACGATGGGTAGAATACGACTTCACAACTAACAACAACAAATGACTCAGTGCTTCGGATGTTGGAAAGGTGGCTAGTTTGACCACACCCTGGCAGACTCGTACATTTATAGAAAAAATAATTCTGCAATATGCAACCTTTTGTAGCAGGAAAAGCAAGCCTGTTAAAATGTTTTCATTAAGTTAAAATGTGTTAAAGTAGCAAGCCTTGAGAAAATTATTACTATTATTATAACATTTCTATGCCGCCCCTTGCCAAAGCCTCGGGGCGGCTTACAACACAATAAAATACATTGAAATACAATAGAACATAAAAATTACCATTAAATACAAAAATACAAAAAATACACTGAGTTACGAACATAATAATATAAAATTAAAATTATCAAGAGGATTGAATTTCTGGAAATGACCAACCATTGGAAAACAGGCTGTAGTGTAGCCTTTCTAAGCAGGCACAGAGCACTAGGAATCATTGTGATATTTAAGTACATTATGCTTGTCATCATGGCAGGATAGCTTTGGTTGTAGAAAGACTCATTAATTTTAGAAAAGAGGCTTGTTCTTTTGAATTACAACTGCCATAATCCTTAATCATTGCCCATGCTGGCTGGAAGTTATGGGAGTTGTAGTACAAAACATTTAGAAGGCACTAGGTTCCATGCTCTTGCTTTAAAAAAGCAGCTATACAGCCAAGGTAGTAGACAGACTGGTGGAAGACCAGCTTGGGCTTGCCCCCCTGCTTCAGCGTGCTTCTTTGTAGAGTAACTACACTACTGTTAGTTCTTCTGTAATATAAAAAGTATATTTTATGCGTCCATTTCAAAGAGCCAATATTGCTGCTTCTAGTGAGAAACTGGTTACTGTCCAAATTGCTGAAATAGCTATTTGTGCTCTTGTTACCATTTGTCCCTAACTGATCCTCATTCACTGTGATGCTTCTGTGACGAACAACTCTATCCCACAGGGAGTCAACTAAATTTCATCTGCCTTATGGGCCTTCCTCTTGTACCTACCAAATTTTAATCAAGATGTGATAAAAACTAGCTTGCGTTTTGTCATATCAAAAAGAAAATAGTTTCTAAAAATCTGTATGAGAATGAGGCTCAACCTTTAAAGAATGCAAGTTTGGGCTTTCTGTATTAATTGGTTCTGCTGAGATGTCATGCTTGTAGAGAAACTATTGTAGAAACTACCTACTGTGTGATGTACTACAAATCATGTTCAGCTCCAGTCTGCTATGAAGAGTACCCAAGAAAAAGTAGGTGACCATTGATGTTATAGTATGGTATAGTATAGGAAACCAAAACTAGTACTGTATGCTAAAGATGCAATCCTATCACCCCTCTCATCAGACTTTCATAAACCTCCAAACTTGGATGCAAGCCAAGAGAGGTGGTAACGGGGATCTCCACCACTGCCACACCTTCATTCTATCTAGGAAACTTCAGCCATCCCGCTTTAGGGGAGGGAAGGACTTGATAGAACTCTGTGGCCCAAGCCTCTTCCCTTTCCCCCAACACACCTTTTTCTCAGTGTAGTTGTACCTTCAGGGAAAGGCTGTCAACCCGATCTGTGAACGATGTGTGATGCCGGGCTCTGACCTATGGTCTCCCAGACAATGGCGAGAAACTACACATCTACTAGACTTGACCTTGATGTTGGGTTTTTAACCCCGGGAAAATCTGGCAGGTTTATTTCTGAGTGAGATGGCCCAAGGCAAACCATAGCTGCTTGCTGTTCACCATGGGGAGATTATTCCAGATAATTATATTTGTAACATCTGTCCTAAATTGTGATTCTTCCACTATCAGAAGCACAAAACATTTTTTCAAACACCTGAAGGGACATACAGTACATTCTCTGAATACCGGGAAGTTCCTACCTAAGCACTTCCCAACAAATTGGTAACCCTCATTATACATATTATTCATTGGTAGGTTTGCCATTCATTACCTTGACTTGTACATGGATGATTTTACCAAGGTAACTGCTTTTTGCTAATTGTAATAAGGGCAGTTTTATAAGCATGCAATCAGAAGCCCACTAACATGGATGTTATCATCTAATAAGATACCTTGTCCCAAACTTCCATGTTGGAATTTAAAGTCAGCATACGTAACAGTAGAACACCCCTGCTGACAAAAGCCAAATGTGTCACTCTTTTAATATTAATTAATCAGCTAAATGATACTATCTTATTCCTTATGTGTTCCTTGCAGTTTCATCAATATCCACTAGGTGAAGCAGAGATATGTCCCCTCTTTATCATTTTTCCATGGAGACAGAAAATCAACCAAGAGGGCAGCTTCTCTTACAATAATTCAGTTTTTGAAGATCAGTGGTCCTTTTCATTTGCTGCCCAAGATACATTTTCATTTTCCATTCATTTTTATGTAATACCTGTTGCAGATTTTGAAAAGTGTCTTGGCACCATTAAATGTATTTCACAGATGTCTTGCTGATAATATTTCCCATTGCTATGGAATAAGCACTAGGAGATGAAACAAATAATAAGCTCATATAATTTCTTACAAATAATAATTGCATCAGGGACACTTAAAACCTAAACAAGCACTTCTTTCGCATTGATATACAGTAGAAAAACAACTGCTGGTGCACCAATTATGCATATTTGTCCATAACATTGGCACATTCATGTTTATTATTATACTATAGTTTGGGTTCTATATCCAATATCAACATGTTATTGAGATTTTCAATGTCTATAAATGACACTCATATTCTAGTGACGTTGAAACAGAGATTCCCTCTGTAGTCAGTGGGACAACCACCTCCTTGGTGTTGCATTATACAAAAGGTTTTTTATAACTTCAGAAAGTCCTGCTCCACTGTTGGCCCAACTTAATTAGCCCGTAAGCTGCTCATGACACAAGCCAGTATTTTTAGAAAAAATGTTTGGTCATGATTGTTTCCCTGATGCTTTAGTGTAGTTCCAGTTGTCAAAGTTGGGAAACATGTATCTTGTTTTCCAAACTAACTTAGGTTTTAGTTAAATGAAAATGTGGCCTTAATTCTACCCAGAAAAACACATAAGCCAAAGAACGTCATGCAAGGTGAGTGACACAGGATAAGTAGCCACACGGTCTTACTGGCTTGGAGAAACCTGTAATGTCAGTATATATTAACTTCTCTGATACAGATTTTGATCAGTCTCTAGTTTTCTTCCAGAAAGAATCTAGGTATGGGGTATTTTTATACCTAGGTTTTCAATTGCACTGTAATGCATGTGAAAGCAAAAATCCACTAAATAGTAAAATGAGGGATTATTTTCATTGTTCATCTGTTAGCAGAGATTTCTCTAAATTGGATTACACTGATTAGTATTGGAATGACGCATTGTAGATCCAGCTTTAATCATTTGAAACTTTGAAGCTGTTTCTCCTTTGCATGGAAGGGGGCATCAGAAATACTTGTTCATGCTTTTTACGAAAAATCATTTTTTCTTAATGTGATATTTGTTAATTTTGCTCCTCAGAAAATTTGCTGACATCTCTCCAACTTCAGATTAAACAAGATGGATGGGTCAAACAATGGCTCGGTTCGAGGTACAACATTTAGAATCTTCAAGGACTGAATGGTGGTGTTCCCTTTCCAGAAAAAAAAAAGAAAGAATTAATTTTGTAGCTTCTTGGTGCAGCACACATTGCTAAAATGGCTGTGATGAAAGTCAAGTTCAACCAGAAGAAAAGAGTAAAGCTAGCCCAAGGACTATGGCTCATGAATTGGGTTTCAGTGTTTGCTGGGATCATTGTTTTTTCAATGGGATTGTTCCTGAAAATTGAGCTCAGAAAGCGAAGTGAAGTGATGGACAATTCTGAAAGCCACTTTGTGCCGAATTCCTTGATTTTGGTGGGTCTACTAGCCTGTGTATTCAATGGTCTTGCAGGCAAGATATGCTATGATTCTCTGGATCCTGCTAAATTTGCGAAGTGGAAGCCTCTTGTGAAACTTTACATAGTGTTGTGCTTGTTTTTTAATGTCTTCATTTTTTTCATTGCTCTTACTTGCTTTCTGATGAGGGGCTCTCTGGAAAGTACATTAGCAAACGGGCTAAAAAACGGGATGAAGTTCTATCGAGATACAGATACACCTGGAAGATGCTTCATGAAGAAGACCATTGATATGCTCCAGATTGAGTTCAAGTGTTGTGGAAACAATGGTTTTAGAGACTGGTTTGAAATTCAGTGGATCAGCAACCGATACTTGGATTTTAGCTCCAAGGAAGTGAAAGAGTGAGTAACCCAACAGAATTTTATTGACACTGAACTGTGTTTGTCTTTCAACTGCAACTCAACAGTATTGTCTAAAATTCATTTTATGCCTGTTGTGAAGCTCTGTATAAAAACATTTCTTTTCCCAAACTTTTGGTTAATTTTTTCCAGCTCATTCTGCTTTTAAAAAGCTTTATTGTGAATGGTAAGCTAGAGGAACTCTAGGGCTTATAATGAGGATGTTTAATGACAATAAAAAAAAAGACTAGCATTTCAAGCTACCAAAGAGGTTACTTTATTAGAGCATTATCCAGAACATTTAGCACTGACTTATACTATAGCTTATGCAGCTCCCATTTGTTCCTATTGGCTGTGTATGAGAATATTATGCTAGATAATTTTGTTCTCACCTTTATTTTTTCCACCTTAAGTCATGTTGTGATTATGATTGGCTTTCTCAGCTGGATGGATAGATGGAATTATAAAGCTGTGAAAAAACTGCATGCAGTCTGAAATCACTATTTTCCTTTTATTTGACCATAAGATCCTGAAAACACTAGTTCTCGTTGACCCTTTTATTTTATTCCATTACAGCAAGGTTGCACAGCTCTTCTTGGTCTTGCTTAACATAAGCACTTTTGATAGATAGATAGATAGATAGATAGATAGATATTAAAAATCTAACACAATCATTTTAATATCTCTCCAATAAATTATTTCAGGTAAAAACTAAAGGGAAGTCAAATAGATTCTTCATTTGATTAATCTGACAAATAAGAGAGGTGTAGATTTAATAGGGTGCAGGAAAGAAAGTGTTAAATCATTCCTATGCACTCCACTTCCCATATGGATCTGGGCCCTGCATAGCTGCCTTTATGGCAGAATTAAAACATACACTTTTAAAAGAGATACAATAATTATTCCTGAAAGTAGAGACAGCAGTCTGCCTGCCCCATTTCCTTGGAGACAAAATCTGTATTTAAGTCTAACAAGTGCTGTCTAGCATTTGGATGCTTTACGTGGTTATACGTTGCAGTGAATTAGCAGAATTAGCAGGTGATCCCCTTGAGCTTGGCAAGGGCTTACCACAGTCCCCATCCTGTAGTAAGAGAAGTTGGAAACAAATGAAGGGAATTGCTGAATGATAATCAGTCAATCACTAGAAATTTCAGAATGTTTAAAGCAATCCCAGCTCTCAGGATTTTCATTCCTATGCTAAAGGAATGTGGCTTATCATATCTGATCACATAAAGGAGGTTTGAGATTAAAGGTCAGAAATAATCATAAAAAATGCTTGTTGCTGTAAGTGCCCCATTGACAAGAGCAGTGGCTTTGCCAGAAGAGATGACAGCAAGAGTGCCTGGGTTTCATTTACTTATACTGATATATATCAAATTTGACTCCTCAGTGATAGTTTTAGTTTAATAATTGGATGGTAATCTCTTATTCTTTGTTTAAAATAAGATTATTGGGTATGGTCCTGCAGGTGCACAAGCAGTATTCATTTCAGTGGAACTTCTCCAGACATGACTTATGGATGGTGCCCAGAAAGACTAAATGAATAGGGATCGTCAAGACAAACAAACATAGATTAATTGTGAGATGAAAATTTTTCCTAGACACTAAATCATGCTATAACTCAGAGAATCCAGTAATGACAAGGACATGACTATAAGAAGACATTCATTTCCAGGTCAGTTAGGGTACAATCCTAGGCATGTTTAGATGGGCAAAAGACTGACTGGGGAATTCTGGGAATTTTAGGGTTTTTTTTCTGTCTAAATATGTATAGGATTGCAACTTTAGGCACAGTCCAAAACTCTCACTGACGATGGATTTCTTGAATACATGTCCCCTAGGCAATAAGGCTCCAATCCAAAGTAAGTTGGTCTCCAAACCGGTGCCCCCTAACATATGAGTAAGTGGCATGAACTCAGTGGGACTTACTTCTGAATGGACTTGTATAGGATTGCTCTGCTGGCCACACTGAAACCAACAGGACAATTTCATTGAAATGAATGAATGAATGAATGAATGAAATCCCATTTAGTTTCAGTGTAATTTAAGCTTGACTGATTTTCCTTGGATTAGTGCCTGTGGGCAGTAGGACTGCAGTACAAGAGCTAAAGCTTGATATTTTAAATATATTAATTCTTTAAATTGGCATTAAAACACTCAGCAGAGCAACTAATAACTGTATTTTTTAATAGTTGTAATTGTGTATCTTCATTCAGTAATATGAAATATTGCCTTCAGGACAGCAAACCATGATTGCTTTGCTTGATTTCTGACACTTTGCTTTGGGGTTTCTTTGGTCATGTTTGTTCTGGTCAGAGTATTGCAGTCTTGTAGAAGTCAGTTATAATATTGATATATGCATTTCTATAATGACATTTTTTGTACCCTGATATGTCAAGTGTTTCTTTGTTGAAATTATGTGATGGTTTCACTGGAAGAACTACTCTTTGACATAAATAACTATTAGAGAGAACTTAATGAGATGTTCACCTTGTAAGCACTACCTGAAGATTTGTGTGCTTGATCTTAATCCTTCCACAGCAAGAATGGCCATGCATGAGGAGAAAAACAAGACTGTGTTGTGCTTAAAAGCAGGGGGGGCATAAAAAATATTGAAGGCCCAGTAACTGGGCATCAGTAGGTCTGGTTTAGGATCTTCTTACAACCAATGCTGTTGCAGCAGTGCAGCAAATACTGATATTGAACTCAATTCTCAATTCATGAGAAACACTACATAGATCCCATCTTGTGCTTGAAAGAAAGAATTGTATGCATGTATTATATATATTTTTTAAATACAGAAAGTGGATCATTTAAAATGTATCCACTACCTCCAGATGTGTTGGGTTACAAAGTCAAGAGATGCTGGCAGTTGGAGTGCAGCATACCTGAAGGGGGAAGCCTAGCCTAAAAGGTTAAGAACAGTTTTATTTTTAATGAAGAAACCAAAAAAGTGATTCTAGAAGTGTGCCATGTATTTAAGAATAGTCTGATTCAGCGCAACAGGCCGGAATTAATTTGAAACTTAACATTTTCAAGAATGGAGGTCAGGCTAGGCTGTTTGTGGGCAATGTTTTGGGCTTTGCAAATAGATGCAGGGTCATCTGGTAAAGTAAAGCCATGGATCCTTATTCTCTGGTATTCTAGGACATGCCTTTATTTTCCTAGCCAGGGTTTCTGGCCAGCTGCTACAGAACACTCTGCTGGGGGCTCACTCTGTTCTGTGCTGTATTAGTATATTCTGTAGTCACGTGTCTGCTGATTTTAAAAGCAGTTATTGTGTATCAGTTATTTCAAAATATCCTTTTGAACTAAACTTGAATCTACTTCACAGACTGGTTTAATGAGCCTGGCCAAGTTTTCAGATGGTTGGGAGACGCCTCTCTCAGAGTGCTGCACTCATCAGGGGCGCTCTTGGGGGAATGCAAGACAGGGCCTTCTTGGTGACTGCACCCAGGCCTGAGCTCTCTGCCAAGGGAGATCATAGAATCATAGAGGTGGAAGGGGCCTTCAGGTCCAACCCCCTGCTATTGCAGGACACTAAATTATACCTTCCCCTTTAGTCTACTTCCATCTTTGATTTCCTTTCATCAGCAGGCAATAACATTCTGATCCAAGCAGGCTTTTGACCTGTAATCTAATTTAATTAGTGACTTGCTGAAATAAGTTTACTTGTAAGTTTGTTGATATGTTCTGAGTTGCTTTTCTATTTTGAATGTCATGTTGTATTTTACTGTTTTAAATGTCCTTGAGCACCTTTTTCATGGAAAGGCAGGATAGGAACTGAACAAAAAACAAACAAACCTTCCTGTGAAGAGAACTAAAGCTCCCAAGCAGAGAATTCCCAGTACTGTTACCAAACTGTGGCTCTTTAGGAAAAGTCTTGACAGTTAAACTGGTACAAAATTTACAGAAACCTGTAGTGCAGTTGTCCCATTTGACTGAGGAGACTTACTGGGTTCAGTGCCCTGTTCAGCCACTACATTCACTGGTGACTTTGGCAACTCTCCTACAAGGTTCTTGTGTAGACAGAATAGAATTTTATTTTATTATGTTTTATGGCTTTAGTTATTATTGTCATCTATTTTATCTGTATTTTCTATTATTATCTGTATTATTGTTTATGATGGCACTGTGAGTTGCTCAGAAAGCCTTCCTGCTATAGGGCGGCATACAAATCCAATAAATAAATTACTAGGATAGCCATATGCACCCTGATGATTAAACTATGTAAAGTTTAAGTTGGACAAAACATTACCTTTAAATGTTTAGATGGCAGCCATGCAGGCTAGGGAACACTGGGAATTGTTGGACTTCTTTCTGTCTAAACATACATAGGATTGTGTCCTTAGTTACTGTGAGGTCCCCAGAGAAACCACACTTGTCTCCTGAAGAAGCCAGAGGACTTATTTTTGTTACCATTTACTGTTTATTCAGAAGTAGGTCCCCACTGAGCTCATGGGGCTTACACTCAGGTAAGTATAAGGATTAGGCCCAGTCCTCCTATAAAGGATCTTTCAAAGGTTGTGGTATCAGATTTTGAGCCAGACAAGCAGATGGGCCCAGAATCCTCAGCTGAAATTTCAAAGCCCAACGGATCCACAGAGAAGTTAAGAAGTCACTGAGAATAAGCTAGTTTCAAGCTCTGCGCAAAAGTTTATTGAGTATGTTAATAGGGAGAAGGGCTTACCTAATATGATTAATCTGAGGACTCCATATCAAGTTAAAAGGGTAGAGCAGTTGCCAAGCTTCAATCACTCCAAGAGTTGACTCTTAAGCAGGAGGACCCGCTTGAGCAAGTGTGGCTTGCTCTTTTCTGTTTTGAAAGAAGGAGAGTTATTCAGTTTGGAGTCAGCTTCTTACAGCGAAGCTGCATTTCTGGAAAGGCCAGTATTCTAACATTGCCTTTTTCTTTTTGTATTGACTTCTGCAGTCCTCTTCTTTTGCACTACACGGCCAGCCTAGTTGATCAGCTCTAACGTGATCAAGTGTTTTAGTTAGAAAGGTTTTATCCTGGTCTGGTCTGCTTGGAAAGAGAGGACAAGAACAGCCAGGACAGTAAGTCTGAATAGGATCTCATATGAAAATCTCTTCTTGCTCAAGGAAGGTGTGTTGGCTATCCTGTCTTTCTTCCTTGGCCTGTTTGTCAGATCCCACTCCATTCATGGAGTTTGCCTAATGTACTGCAGGGGTGGAGAAGTCAGATTCAGACAACACTGCTCTAGATCCAAGCCTCAAATTTTCATTCCAAAATTTCAAAATATACACAATTTTGTATATGATTTAAAAAAATAGCTCTGAAGCAAAAGTGTTGGTTTTAGGTGAAGCATGCATGTGATGTAGGCATGAACAAGTTTAGGAGAAGTCTTCTCTTCCATGTGAAAATTAGAAGTAGCTCTTTGAAGATAGTGTTCCCCATTTTCTAGTTTTTACAACTAATTGTATTTTTTTGAAAAAGCTACTCATGAAAAATTGGTGTATTGCACTGTAGAATTGATCAAAGAGACTGATTAAACATTTTGCCCTATTTAACAGTTTAGTTCCTCTTCAGGAATTAAATAATTCAAGTAGTTAATGAACAAGGGTTTGCTATTCTTTAATTTCATGCTTACGAGTGAGTAGGTATTTGCGTCTGTACTAGTAGTAAGAAAGCAGGGCACTATTCTGAATCAGACCTGTTAGAGGAATATAACTGTTTCATGTAATTAAATACGAAATCAGATTAAATCAAAAGACATGTTGTTCTAGGAGGATATGCAAGTTATTTATTAAGAGACTGACTGGATTCAGAAAACAGGATAATTCATATTCTGGGATTGAGTATGGCTTGAGTATAGGTTGTTGTTGATATATGGTTTATTGCTGAACTGTGGGGTATGTGAACCCAGCCACAAGAACAAACCATAATGAACAACCCACATTTCAGAACTCAACAACCAACCATAGGTTCTTTTCATGGGTTGTTCATTGTTAACAAGCCATGTAATAGCAGCAACAATAACAAAACAACAATAGCAGCAGCTTTTTAGTGCAGCTGACTCAGGACACAATAGTCCATCTTTCAGTAGCAATCAATGTTCAACCCATGAGTGTGGCTTATTGTATTGTCTAAACTGTCACTGAACAGGCAAGCAGTAAATGGGAACAGGAGGACTTTGGGAAACTTACTGGAAGTTTGAATTTTGGATCCATTTCTCCCAGTGGTTATGCTTCCATCTATATAAGTAGAGTCGTTATACCATAACTTACAGTGCTTTGCCTCTTCACAGTCGCATTAAGAGCAACGTAGATGGCAGATACCTGGTGGACGGTGTCCCGTTCAGCTGTTGCAATCCAAGCTCCCCACGACCGTGCATCCAGTACCAGGTCTCCAACAACTCAGCACATTACAGTTACGACTATCAAACAGAAGAGCTCAATCTGTGGAACCGTGGCTGCCGGGAAGCTCTGCTTGCGTACTACAGTGGCATGATGAACTCCATGGGGATTGTTGTCCTCTTTGTCTGGCTTTTTGAGGTAATACAAAGGTGTGGCTGCAGCTCTCTCTGTTTCAGAACCACAATTCAAGAAGTATTCTCTACATGGAGGTGTAAAAATTGGTAATATAAGGCACAAGTGGAGATGCACAACAAGGTATTGCGGAGTATCTTCCTATTCAGGGCTATGTCCATCTTGCAACTGGAGCCTTAGAGTGGAGTTCTTCAGAGCTTGTAAGTGTAGGGAATAGTTTATACATATATCTATCTTCCATGGTATCCCACCTTTTTTTCCTCTTACAAGGAACTCGGGTGGCTTATATGGTCCTTCTCTGTATTTTAGCCTCACAGCTCTGAGACAGGTGAGGTTTTTGCTTGGTTGAAAGTTGTCCAGCAAGTTCCATGGCCCAGTGGGGACCAGAACTTGGCTGTCCCAGGTCGCAGTTGAACCCTCTAGCCTCCATACTGTAAGAGGAAGGAAAGGGCATCTACACCACCACCCTGCCCACCCTCCAGCCCCAATTTTTCCCAGTGATGCTATAAAATATTCAAGGGCTTGGGATTTGAACCAAGTGTTCATCATCCACCTGAGTGCTTCACTGATGTGCAGAGGTGAGAAACTTTCTGGAGTGTGGAAAAGGACAGGAGGTTTTCTATGCATGTCACATTATCCTCAGTCCCCACCTCCAAGATATTAGAACTTGCTTGAGGCTCAAGCAAAGCATCATTTCCCACCATTTGCTGGGTTGTTTTGCTTTTAACTCATTTTTTTAGTATTTATAAACCCACTCAGCACTTGTGCAGCAGAAAGCTCGCAGATGAAAAAGCAACCCCAGAAACAAGTGAAGAGTGTTGCTTCTGGATCACGGCAGGTCAGCAGAGTGCCCATCTGCAACCTCTGCTGACTGTCCACTTCAGAAGTGCCACTTCCGAAAACACGTCACTTGTTTTCAACTGCTAGCTTCTTGCCACACTAGTGGTGATTCCACTAGCAACCAGGAAGGATCTGATGCTTCCTAAACATACTTCTGAAGAGTCTATGACATATTCAGATAGTGCTAGTGTATTTTTGGATGCCCTCTCTTCACTTCCAACCTGATAGGCCATGAGCCTGGACCTGTCTAGCATTAAGAGGGAGAAATATGGATTCATAATCTCTACAACCCTCAAAAACTGGTGTTTGTTGCATCTGATATCCTATAGCATCATGCTGCTTCCAAACTATAGGATCACAACCGTTTGAGGCTACAGTTAAAGAACAGAAACACCTACTCTCTAAAAGCAGTGGCATTACAGTACAAGGAGTACTATAAAAGCAGATGTAACCCTAAGGAGGTTACTCAGCATTGCTTCCATCATGCATGCAGAGTGGGTTCACTGTGATGCAGTACAGCCGTTCCTGCTCTGGAGAGAGGGGGACTGCTCATCCAGGGCAGTTCCTTCCTCTGGAGGTTGTCATGACTATAGACCCATAGGATGTTAGAACTGGTGTCAGCATTTTAGGAGATTATCCTCCCAGTCACTTTCCATACTTTTTCCAAGAACTGGTTATGTCTCCCAAATAATCCTCAGTATCCGTTCCTTTGAATGACTATACAATTATACACCAAGGTTTGAGGAATAGGTTGAAAAAAAAAAAGAAAATCAGTATCCACTAAAGCTGAAGTTAAAGAGCGATGGGGTGATGGCTTTCTACCTATCAGGACATAAATATTCGCTTGCATACTTAAGTTCTGAATGATTAAAAAAAGTGACCAGGGTTGTGGACATTCTCAGGTCTTGGCATGTGCCTCAAGGAAGAGTTTATGCAACCCAATTTTATATATACTCAGAAGATTTTGATGCAAAGGATTTGCCTGTGGGTTTCTGCACAGGTGACATGATGAAGAACAGAAATGTACAGGAACAACACTTTCTTCCCCAGAATCAGTTGAACAGTGCTGATCATTTATGATTATGATCAACTGCCGTGCATAAAAGCAGATATAACCTAAGGAGGCTCTTTTTTCTCTAAACCATTATTCTCTGCATCTGCCCCATTCTCCTCTAACTAGAATACACCACCCATCAAGGCATACAAGGCCATCTGGCCAAGTGCTTGCATGCAGCTAGTACATAACGCTGGATCAGGCTAAACTAAATGCCATCCATGCAGCATTTTGTTCTCAGAGCGGCTGCCCGTGGGAAAACCCACAAGCAGGACGACCGCTTGTGCAACTGCACCCTCCTGTCCAAATTCTCCAGCAGGTGGTGTCCCTCAGCTGCTTCCCCTGAAAATGGAGGGAGTGCTTCGTATCTAGACAAGTAGCCATGGATTTCCATGAATTTGTCTAATCCCCCTTTAAAGCCGTCCAAATTGCTGGTCATCTTATGGAAGTGGATTCCGTAGTTAAATTATCTGCTGTACTAATTGGAACTTGGTTTGATTCGGTCTGAATCTCCCACCATTGGCTTCTTGCTAAAGTCTAGTATTACGAAAGAGGGAGAAAATCCAATTTATCCATACCATGTATACTTCTGTATGCCTTGGCTTTGTTTCCCCTAAGAAGTCTTTTTTCTAAGCAAAGCAGCCCCAGATGTCGCAACATTTCCTCATAAGGGAGTTACCCCATCCCCTTGATAGTTCTGGTTGCCCCTTTCTTAACTTTTCCAACTCTACAATGTATTTTCCTAGGTGAGATGATGAGAACCATCATTGCACAGTAAGAAATGGCAATTTTTGTTTACTCTGACAAAATCCCCCAGGACCTGAAATGCTACTCTGCTTCATATTATCTTTGGACAGAAAAGGAAATCACATCATATATTTGAAACATTCCCCTATTAAGCCTTCCAGCTAGCTTCCATGCATCACACAGATGTATGTAAAATGACGTTTTACCTAAAATAGACAAAAATGGTTTCTCAGATAAAATGCCAGCAATGAAAAACTGACAGAAAGCAATCAGACCGCAGTGAAAAAATAACATCAAGCAATTGGAGAAGTGAATAAATGAAATATGTATGGATGGATTTATAAATGTATGAGGCCACAATTCAGACAAAAGAAATAGAATTCTCAAGGCAACTTACAGTTAAGAGCAGAAAGTAGTTGTAAACTTAAAAAAAACCCACACACATCAATAGCAGAATTAGACTGGAAGAGAATCAAGGACAAGCGTATGGCCCTAATATACTTAGCATACCATCCTGTGGTGTCCTGGCATTGTCTGAGAAGTGTAGATTATTTGGAGTCCTACAGTCTCAACCCCTAACCAGCTCCCTCATAGCTGGCATGGAAAGACACACACAGGCTGCTTCCCCATGGTCTCAGCTGGGCCTTGGAGGGGGAAAAGGTTTGTACTGGAGGCAAAGAGGCAGGTAGGCTAGAGCTGTGGACTTAATGCTGATTTATACTGGTGTCCCGGTGGTTTTCTGGGCACAAGATGCCCAGAAATGCCCAACTAGGGTGCATGTCACTTTTAAGTAGTAAAGCAGCATATGGGACAAAACCGTTTTAATAGCCCGGCCTTATCTGTGAAAATGGACCAAAAAGGGGCCAAGCACTGGTGACCACCGGGTGCACAGAATGCTGGGCTTAGATGGGTCATTGGTCGGCTCCAGCAGGGCTCTTCATACATTCTTCTGCTCAGCACCAAAAATGGGCTTGTTGACATCATAAAAGTATCTTGGGAGAGCGTGTTCCATGTGCAGGGCTCCCCTGCTGAAAGGACCTGTCTGAAAGTGAGCGCACCTGGTGTAGGGCCTCAAAGGGTGATCACAAAGGTATTTATATGTGTTCCCTTAACTTTTTGCAATTAAATCCTAAGGAAGGCTTCATTGCATGGGAAAAGAATGAAGCAAAGGTCTGGGTTATAGGTATAACAAGTTCTATTGACAACCTGGTGTTCAGATTTTTGGAGACCTGGAGAAGTAACCAGGCAACTAGAACTATTGATACATTTCCCCCAAATCACATAGCATTGATATTTGTAACAAGACATGAAATGGAAAACCAACTGGTGAATTGATCCTGCTGTTTCTACTAGCTTTGCTTTTTTTCTAAGTGTACAATGGTTGAGAGGGTGGCCTTGTGTCCCACTTACTGAAAGTGTGATCTATTGAAAGAGCTGTCCAGGCCTAGTTCGATTTAAGATACAATCTTATTTTTAAACAAATATAGTTCGAGTAATATAACCTTTGCCCCTGATTTGAGAGCAGCGCTAGTGGAGAAAGCTACAACTAGCTGGAACGGTGAGTGCTGTAGGTGCAGTCCTCTGTAAAAGAGGACACGTGGCCATCCTTGGGACCGTGGGGAGAGGACAATGGATGGTGCAGAGAGAATTGGCCTGCAGGGTCATTTCAGAAAGAGAAAATTTAGAAGGACTTTTTTTGCTTTGAATATTCACCAGAACTATGTGTTCCTGCCCTACTGTTTACCTATAAAATATTCACACGGAGGGCTGACAGCTCTCTTTTGCAAAGAGGAGGAAAATCCATGCTATTTTTTTGTTTGTGGGTTTCCTTGCTCCTGAAAGCCATTCTGTCCCAGAGATCTGGACTAAACTTCAAGAAACTCACCTCACTTCTCTCTGCAACACTGTGTGGCAGGTCCCACCTGCTTCTGAAATACCAAATGGGCAGCTTTAGAATCAGATGACATAATTAGAGGAGACAGATAGAGGGCAGCCAGGGCATGCAGGAGGTACAACATTCCTCTCAGGCTTACAAGGACTTAAAATGGATGCTCTGAGCGGAAGCAACCATTTTCAATGTGCCATGCCTGTATTTTACATTTTACATAAATTCACAATTCCACTTGTGAATTTGCATAGTGTTTAGTCCTGATGTTTATGTGTAGATGTCAATTTGGAAATAATAATTATAATTTGAATAGAAATACAGTACATCTCACTGAACTGTGGAAAACTGTGACTGGGAATTTAACATTGCTAATTTCCTGTAATGCATTTAGAAGTACATATTGTATATCCTTTAAAGATGATTTAAATAATGCAATGATTTTACAATCAATACAGGCAAACATAGGAGTTCAGAAATTTTACATGTCTTCAATGTTGTGGTAGAAAGTGCCCCACCTAGTAGAACTGGGGCACAGCATTGGGAAACGCTGACACAGAGTGTCTGTACTGAACCAGTCTAGATCAGTTGACCTCCGTTCCGTTGTGTGTTCCACCTAGATGTTGGTGATGATAGGACTGCGGCTGCTGCATACCTCTCTGGAGAGCATTACCAATCCAGAAGATCCTGAATGTGAGAGTGAAGGGTGGGTCCTGGAGAAAAGCCTCAAAGACACTTTCAAATCTACACTGGAAAATCTGAAAAGTATGGGTAAGTGGAACCAAGTGGATGCAGGCGCTGAAGGTACGGAAGGTGAAGACGCCAAAACTCAAACTGTCTCAACTGTCAGTTGAGTTTCTTGACTAACAAGACTGTTACCAAAAGACTGAGAAATGTGAACATTCATTTTTTAAAAAGAGGTAAAAGCCATGAGAGCTGTACACTGGGATTTACATATACAAAATATGGTGACTACAGTATAGTATCTGTTGGGATAATACAAACATCCTCACGGCAAACATGCAAAATAGTCAATGACGTCTAAGGGATTTGGCTATAATGGGGTGCTTTTAAAGCAGATATATCAATTTATTGTTGTTATTTGCCATTAAATTGTCCCTGACTTATGGCAACCCTATGAATGAGTGCCCTCCATAATGGCTGTCCTTAACAGCACTCAGTAAATATTTCTTAAGAAATATCATGTGAAAAATTGTTTGGCACTATCTTCTGTTTTGTCTCATAATTGAAAGCTAAATGCAGAAGTTTTAAGTTAATTATTTTTGTACTTAAAGTTTACAAATATATTTGAAAGGTCAATATACTTTTAAAAAATAGTAGCCATTATGTATGTCCTTGGTACAACAAGAGTGATAAGATATATGGAACATCCATACAAGTTTTAGCCTCTATCTGGTCAAAAGCAAATGCTTAGTGTTGTTACTGGAGGACTATATTCTGCCATGTTCATGTGACATAAAAAAGAAAAAGAAAAATTGTACTAAACTTTTATGCACTGAACACATACTTATACATTTATAGGAGCAAGATTTAATTGATGTTAAAATCCAGATAAGCTATAGAATGAGCTGATGGTGGTTGCTCAGGTGCTTTACTATCCTACCTTTAGCAATTGTGGTAAGTATATTTCTATGTTACAGCTAGTGGAAAGGTTAAATTTCACCTTGATTGATGTATATGCCATTTGCTATGAAAATTAGGCTGCTCATGTGAAGCATTCATGACAACCAACTTGAATCACTTGGTTGCCAAAGGAAAAATCTGCCACAAATCAACACTTGAGTTCCAGAATTTTTCTCAGATATTGATGTGAGAATTATTCAGTAATAAAGGCAAGATTCAGACATTAATTCAGTGAATCAGATGTAATGCAGAGCAAGCTGGGCTTGGCACTTAGCTTACAGAAGACACCATACAGAGAATGCATTCCGAATCCAAAATATATAATCCAGCAGGATTATATATTATCTGGAACATAGTGATCATAACACCTACCTTTTAATTTTCTTTGCTAGAATGGAACACTGGGAGAATTAGCAATGTAAAGAGATTTTATCTTTGTTCTATATGAAATTTATATTTTATATTTAAGAATTCATTTATATATACACTACATTTAGACACTTGCATTTGCCAGGTAAGCCTTTACCAAGAGAAAGCAATATCCTACGGCTAGGTCACTCAAGCAGAATCCCAGGTGCTATGAAGTAAACGGAGTTGACCAGGTCCTTGTCTAAATGCCTGTGTTTGTCGTGATGGTAATCAGAGCAGGCTGGAGTTGCTCAAGCAGGGTCAAGCAGCTAAATTGAGGGAGATTTGCAAGAGGAGAAAGATGGAAGGCACTTTGAGGCATCCATTTAGTTTGCATATGATGATACAAAGCTGCCTTATGTTAAATTAGACCAGCAGTCCATGTAGACTGTCTCTTTGCAAGGGTGCCCACCTACTCTCCACTGTGTCAGCTTTGCTCCCCAGGTGTTTTCTAACTGGAGAAGGAAGAGACTGAGGCTACAGCTGGGACCTTCTGCATGCACTATGGCATCATGGTTAATACATGCAGTTATGAGTTCAGGGAGACAGACAATGGGTCTGTCTAAATATGCAGCAGATATGGAGATGGCCAGAAAAGACGTCCTCCAACAGTATGTGGGTTGATTTCCCCCATATCTGCCCCAGGAGTTCTTCCAACCCTTTGGAGCAGATTGAGGGAATGTGCCAGGGGAATGGGGCAATACTTTCTGGTTGCAGTGTCTGTTCTCGTGATAGGCAAATAAGCATTAGATGTAATCTTAAAACACTGGAGCTGTTACGACATAAAGTAAGGAACAAGGACAAAGATGTAAGAAAAATGAGTGCTGTGGGGGAAGTTTAGCAATCTAAACAAACTGGACAGTGGAGGTACAACTGATGAAAATACCAGCAAGGAGTTGGTTCTAGTAGTTAGAGACAGGCATACAAACAAGAGTTTTAACTACAAACACAGAAAGGAAAAAGGTAAATGCTGGAGGTGAAGGAAGGCTACAACAAGTTCAAACCTTGGGTATCAATAAGACAGGAAGGATTCAATGGTTACCTTATCAAACCTTTTACAAACTGGGTTGGTTTTGAGCTATGACATTCTAATTTTTTCCTTTGAACAAGGACCTTTTGTTACATTCATTTTCTCCCCCATTTCCAAATCCTTCACTGGTATCTGCATAGAAAATATTTGGAACTTTGGCGTTAACTTCCAAAGATGCAGCCCATCTTTGAACATAATTATTAGAAAATGCCTTCCAATACCCCATATGCCCCACCCTGTGGAACTGGCTGAGGCATGGTGGGATCTGGAATACTTTTTTCTGTCTAAACATGCATAGGATTGTACACTATGCCTCATAACCATCCCATTTTTGAAACTAGATTGTAGAAAGGAGGAAATGTATATCTTGCGAATGGCAGCAGTGTTCAGCAAGAAAACAATTACAGGTTAATGTGTACAGTAACAAATAGGTTAGAAATATTTTGTTTACCTTTGACCTTGACCAAGTGTATGGGACAGATTTTCAGAGGATGAACAGTTGGGAAAGAGTTTAAATATGAAGGTTTCAAAAAGCCCTTTGTGGCACTGTGCTCCATATCTGGCATGTGAGTACTAATGAAAAGTTTCAAAGAGTTTATTGTGTCACGTCTGAACTTAATGCAATCTTACAAATGGTTGTCTGAGACCATCACTTCGTTTAGGTGTGGCTCTGTCTCTACCATCTCTGGATTGTGTTTCAATTGAACACATTCTCTTACTGCCATTATCAATCTACTTGGTTTTTCATTAAAAAAACAGATGATCACCTCTGATCTCAAAGATACCCTAACTCCTGTTAGATGTATGGAGACTGTAGAAACTGGTTTGTGTCAAGGCATTGGAAACATTATGTTCTGTCTGGAAAATAAGTGAAATTGAGATTGTTCTGTACATTTTTTTTCTTCTATCCTCCACAGATGGGTAAGCTCTACCACTGGGTTATGTTACTTCCTATACGACAGGTCAACTAAAAACAAAACTGCCCTTCCCCTTTGGTTTGGCTACCCCCTCTGCTTAGCAGGGACACAACCTAATGGTGAAGGCTACCCATTCAAAGGTGGAAACAGATAATAGAAAAAGTAACTGGAAAATACATGATTATTGTGTAAGATTCCAGTTCCTGAAGTTCTGCTTTGTATTATGCAATTTGTAATATTTATTTGTCCTATCCAACAAAAGACTCTGTGATACTGTAAATGCCATTTAAATATGTGTGTAGGTGCCGTTTTGCAAATGTGAATGTAGCTGTTTACAAAACTGTATTTAGAGAGTACTTACTAAAAAAAAGGCTGAAATGTGTTTAATGAAGTGTTTTCCTCCATTTGCATTATTGGTGTGCTTACAGCTATTCCTGGCTTTTGTTCACTTGTCAACTGATCTCTTACTGGAGGGATTTGTAATGGCTTAATGGCCTGAAAAAAACCTCTCCACATAGTTTTGTGTCACATGCATGGGGACTTTGCTGTTTACATGTTATGTAAAGAACAAAGACAGGTTGCTTAACTGTACTTGTTCTTTTTCATGGTTGCTCTGCAACACACACAGGGACTCTGCCCCTCCGTGGAGACCTCTCCCAAAAACTTCTACAAGTGTGGACTTTTTGCTGGGAATCCTCCCCCGCCATCCCAGTGTGCAGGTCCCTAATGGGCTCCAGCCTAATTTTCAGCCAGGTGGCCATTCTGAGGAGCTCAGCAAGAGATTTGTTTCCCAAATGCCACTGACTTTGCCTTAGCATGACTTAAGTAAACTGGATGGGAGTAGCCAACTTGATAGAATGGATCACCCAGAATGAAAGTCTGGGGTAACACCCTGTCATACCACTTGCCCACATAACAAATGAAGAGCCTTCCACAGTGTGCATCAATTTAGACAGCTTTGAGATGGGATTCAAGAAATTCCTGGAGGAGAAGGCTACCAATAGCTCCTAGTTCTGATGGCTATATGCTGCCTCCAGGATCGGAGGCAGTATGCCAATGTTCACCTGCAGGGTGTCTTTGCGTTCATGTCCTGCTTGCAAGTTTCCTGTGCAAATCTAATGGACAACTGTGCAAACAAAATGCTGGAGGAGTGATCCAAAATGGTTGTTCTTATGTTCCTATGATTCTATTGCTTCAGTAGGACTTTAGCAGGTAACATGCATGATAGAGGCATCAAGAATATCTGTACTGGAAGGTGCTGTTGAAGGTAAGGCACAGTATTGAGGAAGGTTTTCTTAACATACTGTGAATGTCAAACTTTCATCCATGGCATGCAAGTCTTCCAAATAGTATGTGCTCAGAATACTATCCCAGTCTGCTGTGAAGAATGCGATTTGTATCTAGGATGCTCGTAAAACCTACATTCTCTCTAAACTGAGGAATGAGGTCTAGAAACCATCAAATCTGGGATGCTCTGTAACATGATGGTCAGTGGCTATACCAAGACAGAGATTGGCTGCAGTGGTCATCAGGCTTTCTGGTTGGTACTGGAGTTGGCAAAACACCTCAAGTCTGCTGTGCTGGATTGGTATTGGCAAATTTGGCAGTGCTGGAAGAGTGAATCCAGAAGGAGGTACAGCTGGTGTCAACTCTGTTAAGCATAGCATCGAATTAGTAGCTTGCAATATCAACTCCTTTTTCATCTTCTCTAGGAACCCTTCCCTTTCTTTTCCCTTCTTTGGCTCAGAAAATTTTTGTGCTCCATCTTTTGGGACAGCTTGTTAGCCACCATAAGTGTCAACAACAGCCCAGGTGCAGGTGGGTTGAAACAGACCATGGGTAGGACTTGATTTAG